TAACTTTAAACTGCAAAAAGCTTTGATTTTAAGCGTTTAAGATGTTTGTTTGAGGCTTCCTTGGTGTTGGGGTGATCTACTCCCTTGCATGCCCTATTTGCTAGGCTTTTGAGCCATCACTTTGAGCCTTTGTGATCACTTTTATTTGGCCTTTCTACCACTGAATTCCAGAGGAATTTCAGTGGTGGAAACTTGGTTTTGAGGCCTCAAATGGGTGGGGGTTGTCCCCCTCCTCTTCTCTTGTATGCTTGTGTTGATGGCTCATCACAAGAGTATGTATTTCTATCTTCTTGAAGCTTTGTTTGAGCACTTTTTTGTGACTTTTTAGACCTTCCATGACTCTATTTTTGGTTGTCTTGGTCACCCCTTGCATGCTTCTTGTATGTGTAGTGTAATCTTACTTGTGGCTCATCAAAGTAGCATGTCTTTCTAACATGTTGGCTCCATCTCAGCCTATTTTTGACCTTATTTCAGTATGGAATACCTCTGTTTTGGCTCAGTTTAGGCCACCCTTGCATGCTTCACACACTTATAGTGCAATCTTGCATGCTAGCCTAACATGCATCATGCTTTGGACCATCATTCTAGCATGTTTTTGGCTTCACTCTAGCAAGCTTTTGGCCATGTTTGAGCATGCTCTAGGTCTGATTTAAGTGTTTTGGGTCATGCATGCCTTGATTTGTATAGCTATAGTGCATTCTTGTTCATTAGCTTTGTGTTTTGAGTCCACTAGCATGCATTATTTGGGCTATTCATATGATTTGGCATCATTTGGTATGTGATTTCAGAGAATGTTTCATTGCCATATCCTCACATTTTTCACTCTCTCAATGCTTTGAAGGGTTGGTGCTTTATGCCTTAAAAATGAGCCATTGTGTATGCCATCTTACCTAGGCTTTTGGGCTGCCATATCAATGTGTTCTTGGTCTTGTTTTGCCATAATATAACTCTGATTTTTGTTGGTGAAGTCATCTCATGCTTGGTTTTGGTAGGTGTAATGTAATCCTCCTTATTGGCCTTGCATACTTCATGCTTCATGCCCTTCATGCTAGCAGGTGTTAGCTCTAGTCCATACATGTTTTAGCATCATTTTGACATGCTCTAGGACTGTTTTGGATTGTCTTGGCCATATGGTTCATGCATTGCATAGTTGTAGTGTAATTGGCCTTGCTAGCCTTGAGTTTTGAGTACCATAGAATGCTTCATTTGTGACATGTACATGATTTGGCATCATTTAACATGATATTTCAGAGCATATAGTATTGCTATATTCTTACTTCTTTCACTCTTTGAGTGCTTTTCAGGATTGTGCATTATTGTCTTGTTTGTGGACCAATGTGTATGCATGCATGCCTAGACTTTTGAGCTCCCATCTCAGCATGTTTTGATCTTTGTTTTGACCTATTTGAGCTCTATCTATGGCTGGTTCAGTCATTTATGCCATGTATTGCATGCCTCTTGTGTAGTCCCTCTTGGTGGCCTTGTGGCTTAAGCCCTCTTGCGTGCTATACTTGTGTTGTTTAATTGGTTTGGCATCATTTCATACATGATTTTAGTGCATATAGTGTAGCTACACTCTCACATTTGTCGCTTCTTCAACATGTTTAAGAGTTGTGCTCTTATGCTTAGTTGATGGGGCCAATGCATGAGCATGCATTATCTTGCATTTCATGCCATCATATCAGAGTATTTTGGCCACTGTTTTGGGCATGATTGAGGTCTGTCCACATTCGGTTTAAGTCCATTGAGCATGCTATTTGAATGTTGTTGTTTGCATTGTGTTTGCATGCTTGTTGCATTGCATTATGTTTGCATGCATTGCATTGAGTTTGCATGCCATTAGCTTTGATTAGTTGATCATGTTGCATTGGGTTGTGTTTGGATAGGGTGTTAATCCAAACACGAGAAACAAAGGATGTTTCATACTTGAAGTGATAAAACGTGCTTCAATTCTCGGTCGCCGACCCTCTTGATCATGCATGATTGAGGTTAAGGCTCTTATGTGTTGTTTGTGCATTCATTGACATTGAATTGTGCAAACTCGGTTTCTCGGCCATCGTGCATTGCGATGCATGGTTGGTGGCCCGAGAGTCGAGAACCGCACTCCCTTGAGCTTAAGAAATGATAGGGAGAGTGGTTGTGCACACATATCTTGCAAATACACTGCCGTGCCCCTTCTTGTCTCTGTTGCAGCAAAATGGTGTTAGGCAGAATTTTCTAGTCGGCAGACCAGTAAAAGTGGCTGGCCGACCACTTTTTCTAGTTTGCAGCAAATGTAAGTGGTCTACAGGTGGTCTACATCACCATCAAGTGGTCGGCAACCTTCCTGGGGGTCTCCAAGCTGAGGTAGAAGCTATCTGGAGGTTTGTGCAGTGTTCTGAAACCAAATGCAAACAGAGGCAAGTTGGGGCATAGTAATGGATTTCCAAACGAGGCGATCGAGCATGCATACACCTCTCACCCCGAGGCTCATTTTAATTGCTTTTCTTAGCTAGTTAGCTATTTGGTTCTGTACTTAAGTAGTTAATGCACTTAGCTATTCATTTGTGTTTGTAATTAGTTAACTTGTTAGTTAATTAGTTTTGTTTTGTAATAATTAATTTAATTAGCTAGTTAGTTTATTATTCGGACCCTCCGTCGAGAGGGCGAATTTTGTAATAAGTGTGCGTGTGTGTGATGCATGTCTTCTAACCCCCATTTCTTTCTCCCTTTTACTTATCAGCTTTTGATGGTTAGTTTTAGGGCATATTTCAATTAGCATCCTTATGCTTCACATGCGTGCATCATTCATCTGTCTTGCATGCACTAGGCTCGGCGCATCATTCAAACAGCATTGTATTTCAATACACTTACTTGAATACGTGTTTCATAGTATGTTATCAAGTGTTGCATTCATATGCCATTCTAGATAGCCGAGCCTATTTTAGTTGCATTTTTACATGTGTTGCATTAGGCATTCTTGACATAGCTAGGATCATGCATGATTTCTAACTAGCTTCTTTTTTGGCTCGGAGTACACTGTGAGTGTTTTCGCTTTAGCATCCTTGCATGAGTGTAAGTAATTACCATGATAGCATGCTTGCCCTAAGGCTATGCGCTTATGTGTTTAATTGCATGAATGTCTGTGGATGAAGGCTTCGTTGCTTGAATTGGGACAATTCATCAAATGTGAGTTTTAAGCCCACTTGAGAGTGACAAAATCATGTTGTTTTCTAAGCCCACTTGAGGGTGGCAAACCCACGTCTTAGCCTACTTACGAGTAGCACCTTCAAACCATTTTCGAAAAATAAACATGAGATGTTTTGTTCCAATTCTTACGATTGAGTTTATACTTGTATGTTGTGCACATCACATAGTAAGCTAGCTAATAAATCAGAATAAGAACACATGTGTTTTAAAAAATAACATATTATGTTAGTAAAGGCTGATCTTTGATCGGGCGAGCGGGGGTGCTCATTGTATGACCTTCCCCTCTCGTACTCAAGTTTTCGAGCCGAGGCAACTTTGGTGATGACAGACACGCAGCCTTAGGCACGAGTCAGGGTTTCCCAAATTTCTCAAAACAAAACATTTAGGTGGCGACTTAGAATCTGGCAAAGCAGTCCATGTTTGGCACTTCTTGATTAAAATCGATTTTTCAAAACGATTTGCCGGATTTGAACTCTTTGGTGATTTATCAGTCTTACATTGCACTTTGTGAGATTAGATTCAAAACCGTGACAGGAGTCCGAACTGTAGTTAAGAACTACGATTCGCGCCCTCGCGCGCGAAGTGGAGTTCGAGCTGTCTACAACCCGCTTTTTAAACTATTTAGGAAACTAACCTGCTTTTGAAATCGCATTAGCATTTTGAAAATGTAATTTTAAAATTGAAATTGCATTTTTAACATGCAATTTCATCTTGAAATTGCATGTTGAAAATGCAGTTTCAATTGAAATCGCACGTTGAACAGGCAATTTCACTATGTCACCATTTTCAACTTACAATTTTAAGGTGAAATTGCATGCTCAAGATATAATTTCAATTTTAAAATAACATTTTGAGAATGCGATTTCAAAAAGTAGGTTAGTTTCTTAAATAGTTAAAAAAGTGGATTAATTTTCTAATTAGTTTTTTTTTTTTTTTTTGAAATGTTAAAAAAAAAAAACTCAAATTCACGAAACCCCAACAATATCCTCCAATTGGGAAACCCACTAGAGAGAACCTTATCCTTTCTTGACTAACAACAGAAATAGTTAACCCGCTTGGAAATTAACTATTTAAAATGATTTTTAAACTTTTTATAAAAAAAATGTAAAAAAATAGCGATAATGATATGATACTTTGTCTCCGTTTGGGAAGTGGGTTGACTTTTTGACTTTTTGACTTTTTTGGCTATTTGAGCCTGGGCTCAAAAGCTTAGTTTGGAAATGATTTTTTTGGCTTTTTTGACTTTTTTTGTGAGAGAAGAGTATAATGATTATGGGTTGAATGTGATGTTTTGTCTGTTGTGGCTCAAATAACCTATTCTATCTTTTGTGACTCAAAGAGCCAAAAGAGCCCAAATGAGCTCTTCCCAAACGATACCTTTATAATCACTTTTTAACTAACAAATTATGTTTCTCTTATGTTGAGATTTCAACAAGAGAGAATTTGAGGGGCTCTAAGGTCTATTACAGGTCTCATTTTGATTCGATAATCCTAATCATTCATTTTGTAGAATTCTCAATATATATCATCCATGAAAATATTTAGATTAATCTGATAATCATAACATTTTCATTTTATTATATATATCTCTAAAAAAATGAATGGTCCATTTCAAAAATATATTTGTCATTTATTTTTTCAGAAATAAATGTGTTAAAATAAAAAATTATAATTATTAAATCAAATTAATTTTTTTATAAATAATATACAGAAACTTACAAACGAATTATTAAAATATGACTCTAATAAATTTTATAAATCTCTCCATCCATCGTTTGAATAAATTCACCATCCATCGTGCCTTCACGCACAAACAACCTGTACGTGTACAGTACACACACTCACCATTCCACAAATAGGAAAACCCAATCCACAAACGCACAGAGAGATACGCGTATTATATCAAAGTTTATTTGAATATTTACAGAGATTGATGAGAGAGAGAGAGAGACTGAATCCAAATCTTCATATTCTCCATATTTTCCTCTCTCTCTCTCTCTGTCTCCAAATCTCCCTGTATTGTTGTTGCATTGATCATTCAATTCAATTGAATTCAAAACCCAATACGCCAAAATCATGCCAAAATCCATCAGTTTTCGATCCCTATTCAACAGGAAGAAGAAACGCAACGTCTCTCTCTCCACCACCCCTTCCCTGGATCCATCTCCGGCCATCTCTCGCTCTTCTTCCCGCAACTCTGGCGCCCACATCGAGGAAGAACTCAAGCAAGTCTTCAACAAATTCGACGTCAATGGTGACGGCAAGATCTCCTCCTCCGAGCTCGGATCCATCCTCTCCAGCCTCGGCTACTCCGCCACCGATGACGAACTCCAGACCATGATCCGAGAGGTCGATTCTGATGGCGATGGAGTCATAGATTTGGACGAGTTCATCGAGCTCAACACCAAGGATATCGATTCCAATGAGGTTTTGGAGAATCTGAAAGAGGCGTTTTCTGTGTTTGATATTGATAAAAATGGTTCCATCTCTGCTGATGAGCTTCAGAATGTGCTGAGTAGCATCGGCGAGGATTGTTCGATTGCGGAATGTAAGAAGATGATCGCTGGCGTCGATTGTGATGGGGATGGGATGATCAATTTTGAGGAATTCAAGGTCATGATGAGCAAGGGATTGCGATTTGATGCAACAAAACCGGAATGACGACAACAACGACAACACACGGATTAGGAGTTCATGGTTTCATTGATTACCTAACTTTTTTTTTTATTTTTTTTTTCATATATAATTTTTTTTGAAAGGTGAATTTTCTCTGCCTTTCTTTTTCCTTTTCTTTTTTCATTTTCTTGTTGATGGGTTTCTCGGGAAACAAAAGCGGGAATGCACGGATTTTGGAAAATTGTGAATATATGAATGTCTCTCCATTTTGTTTCTTTATGAAATCCAATAGAGTTTCTATTTAGGCTGAGTTTTTCTTCCGTCCGTGGTCGAATTAGACGGTACTGTTAGATTCGTAAGATATATTATGAGTTTTGTTTTAATAATCTGGGCTGTTCAATATGTAAAACTTATTATATATTTATCAAAAGTAACTTTGATCGGATATCGATAGTTACGTGATCTAATCAGTTTTGTATAAAAATAAATGGACGGTGAAGAAATAAATGGTTGACAAAAATCTGATCCGATGAGATAGCTATCGATATCCGATCAATATGATTTTTTACAGTCATATATTATTTGACAAGTTCTACATATTCAACGGTTCAGATTATCAAAACGAAAGCCGTGATGGACTTTCATAGATTCAACAGTACCCTCTAGTTCGATCACGAATGGGAAGGAAAGCCAGCCCCTTCTATTTGAATAGTACTCTTTTAATCTCAAGCTTTGATTTGTTTGCTTTTTCTATTATTATTCAAATTTTGGTTCCTAGTTTTGTTTATTTATTTTTATTTGTTTTGTATGTAAAACTCTATTTCATAAAAGGATTTGTCTAATCTAAAAGTTTAGACAAAATTAATAACTGCTTTTAAATTTATAATTATATTTTTAAATTTGAACAGTTAATTGTGTGAATACGATTTGTTGGTATGAAAGTCATAAAAAAATGGAATAAATTATACCTGTCTTTTTTGATATTTTTCATAATTCTAGATATTCCTTTGAGATTTCCGAAAATAATACTGACGAGCAAATTATTTCATTTAATTATGTATTTTGTAGTTATATCATATCTGTAGATATAAATGCCCTAGAAATTCATGTGTGAAATACAAAAATGCGGTCATTTTTTCATGTTCTAAGGAAAAAAATACCCTATTTTTGATTTGTAAAGACAAAAGTACCCAATTACCATTTTCACCGACCCAAGTGCACAACCCACTACACAACTCCCTTTTATCTTTTTCCCTTCCTCATTCCTACCATTGTTTGCCATCTTTTCCAATGCCACAACCCAACAACATGACTACTATCTCTTCACCCTTCATAACCCTACTTCTACCCATACCCCATCACCTCACTATCCCTTCCTAGTTATTCCCTCTATCATTCTCCTTTACACTCCCATCTTTATCCCTTACTAGCCCTACCACTACATGGAAGCCCCCTCTCTCTCTCACATCCCTTTCTAACGCTGCCATAAACCCAATTCTCTTCCTCTTCATAGACCAAACATGAATAAATCATTTGACTCTTTCAATTAGGGATTTGAAGTGAGATTTTGATTTTAAATGGAAATTGAAAAACATAAATAAAAAAAAAAAAACCAAAATGAGGGTGTTTGATTGTTTGGTTTTTCGTGATTGTCCATAATTACAAGAAATTAAAGTGTTAAGAGTTGTGCGGTGGCTTAGTTTTGTGACTGGACAAAAATTGAGAGCTTGGGATTTGCACATATTGCTTAGGGCTAAGGTATCAACAAATACCCCTTACAATGACTGGCAATTAGTATTATAGGGCAAAATTTTGTGAAATCTACAACAACAGTGGTAGTAGGGGAGAGGCCCATGAGGGTGAGGTGGAGATGGTGTGTGGTAGTGGTGGCGTGAGATGATACGTTGTAATGACGATGTGAGATGGGTCGGTGGTGAAGGCACAAGCACAACATAGATGGTGGTGTGTGTATTTAAAGTGGTAGGGATGGAAGCGACTTTGGCAAAGGTTGTGTGAAGTATATGAGTGGAAATGTGTAGATTGAGGGGGTTGGTTGCCATCTTTGTGGGTTCCATTTCATAGAAAGAGAGAGATGGGATGAGTGATCTAACATGGTAGGGTTTCTAGATTTTTTTAAAAAAAAAAGAAAAATTCTATTGGGAGAAATTACAAAAAAGTAAAAATAAATAAATAAATAAATAAAAATCAGGGTTTGACCATTGTAACAAATTAAATCTTGAGTTTTCGAACAATTTAAATTCTAAAATTTAAAACCATCTCCACTCTTTTTTCCATCAATGACCGTCACCCTCTCACATATTTTTCAACAACAATTGTCACCCCTTTCTCTTTTCCATCAACAGTTGCAACCCACTCCTAATTTTCCACAAGTGACAACTAGATCATTAATTCTCTTCCATTAGTGATTATCATCCCCTCCATATTTTCCATCGATGGCCGCCACCTCCTCTTCATGTTCAGCGACAACCTCCACTTACTTCCCAATTTCCAATAGCGACTGCTACCCCTCCCTCTTTTCCATCGGAGATTATTGCCTCCTCATTTTCCACTGGTGACTACCACCTTCTTTCCTTTTTCAATCGATGACCTCTACTGCTTCCCCCTTTTTGTCCCACATCACTGTTACCCCTTTTCCATCTAAGCATTAATTAGTTTCTCTTCGCTTATGGTTTCCTCTATACTTTTCATTGGTTCCCATCTCCCCTTCATGTCAATCATTATTTCCCTACTCGTCAATCTCCATTCCTACCATATGTTGATTTGCTTATTCAACTTGACAACGGAGGGTTATGATTTACATTAAATTCAAAGATTAGGTGTAACGCCCCAAAATAACCACAATATATCTATCTCATAACAACTAATAAACAACAGCATAAGTGAAATGATAAGTTTTCATTAATTAGAGTTTGATATATAAAAGATGACACATGTGATATACATTCATAAACAGTACATCCTGAATCTACAACATGTGTTACAAGATAGCGAAAAGAAATGAAAGTTAAACAGATAACCTTATGCCCTAATGGCTTACATCTTTCCAAGTCAATACTTGGGTACATAAAAAGTGAGTCTTAAGCTCAATATAAATAAAACTCTAGGCTTGTGCAAAAGTAAATACAAAATAACAATGATGAGTCTTCAGTTCCACAGTAGCTAAGTCCTTGGTAGAGACATATCATCAGCATCTGAAATATTTTCCCCACATAGGGTGGGCCAAAACCCAATAGAAATAATCTTACACAGTATATGAATCTTAACAAAGCTATAGGGTGAATGCATATGTAATGCCTATGCAAAAACATTTTTCATCTTTTTTTTCCAACAACACGTAATGCCAAATAAACATCATACTTCATAAGTCATTTCCTTAACAATAGAAAATAGGGCAGTGAATGAAACTCTGGGGCTTCCAAAACAATACAACCTTTCCCAAAAATTTCATCAGGAGGAAACTGTAAACTGGGACCCATGTAAACGTAGGTTATACGAGTACGAGTACTTATTTGATGTGACAACCATTTCTTCCCAGATTCACTCACATTCTCCAAACAATATACATGTGCAATGTATAAATGTAAAATAATGATCAATGCAAATGAATGAGAAAAATAGTTTCAACTCCTAATTCACGTGCAATTTCTACAACAATCATAGTTATTTTCCACCGATAGCCCAAAATAGATATTTCTAAACAGATAATTTATATTCCTTAAAGATAAACTTTCCAAATTTCAATAAGTGAATGATAATACATATCTAACTCTACCATCCTCGTCAATATCAATCCAATTCACGATTTCAACATCAATTTCATCATTTATAAAAAATCCATAGTTAAAGCATTTAGGGCAAAAAATCCTATTTCCTTCTAAAATATATTGTAGATACCCAATTTTTGACCGTCCTTAAGACTTGGATGTCATCGCTTGTGCACTCGATGATTATGATTGTGCTCATTTTAGTGTGCCCGAAGTGTTCGGCGGAATGCTTTATCTTTGAGCCTTTAAACCCTATACATTCTGTGCCTTGTTTTGGACAAAAACTCTAGTGTTTCAAACCTCGAGACCCTGGGACTTACAGGCCTCCTCTAGTGGGCTGCCGGCTACCTTTAGTGGGCTGCTGGCCATCCTTGTGCCTTGTCAGCCAATGGTGTGACCTACTGGCCATCAATGTCTTTTTTCAGATATTTTGTTGATAGTTGTTCCAGCTATTAGCACAATTGGCTGCATCTCCCTACACAAGCTTCTAGATTGTCAAGGAAGCTTTGGCTTGCATTGTTTATATAAGGGGAGCTCCCTTCCCCTATGGAGGGGTTCAGAAATTTCAGAAGCAAATCTCTCTCTCTCTCTCTCTATATATATATATATATATATTTCTCTCTCTCTCTCTTGCAAGTTTGTGCACATTAGCCTACATACACTACACTTTTGCCTACATGTCCTAATCAAAGTTGATCACCTTTGAGCTGAGATTCCTTGAGGCCTTCTTGGAGCTCTTGAAGTTGGTTTTGGCTTGAATTGTTGCCTAGAATTGATCTTTGCTTCAAGAGTACAAACAACCTGTGAAAATACTATCTCTTTGATCTGTTTGCTCTCCGTTGCAGCAAGAAATGACGCATCATCAATGCCCGGTCGGTCACTGTTTCTTGCCGGCAGGCCATCATTGTTAGACGGCAACCCCCTACTGGTGGCCTGTCGGCCACCAGTGAATTTTGAGTGGAATGTTTGTGGAGTAGGGCAGAGTTGATCGAGAAGAGGAAAACCAGTGCAAGGGTTATGCAACAGAGGCTTTTAGAGGCAGACAGTAGACGTTTTTCGGGTGGAAATCGAGCATGCATAGGCCTCCCTCGCTTCCCAGGACTAGGTTAATTAGTTTAATTAGTAATTATTCATTTATTTGTTGTAATTAATTAATTGTAGTTGGTTAGTTTGTTTTGTACTTATTTAATTAGTTTAGATTGATTAATTAAATTAGTTTGTGTTGATAAATATTTAATTAGCTTAGTCTAGTTAAATCTTAATTAATTAGCTTGGAATAGTTAGCTAATTTATTTATTCAAGTTTTGTAATAATTAGTTAAGTAGTTTAGCTTAGCTAGTTTATTCATTTAGACCTTCCTGCGCGAGAGCATCAATGTTGTAATAATGTGTATATCTTCTAACCTCATGTCTTTCTCATTTTTATTTATCTACTTTTGATGGCTAGATTAGGGACATCATATTTCAATTAGCATATCACATGTTTTCATTCATTCATTTGTCTTACATGCATCGAGGCTCGGTTCATCATTCTAACTGCATTGTCATTTCATTACCTCGTTGAATACGTGTTTAAACGCATGTTCTGAAATAATTGCAAATAACATGTTAAGTAGTCGAGCCTATTTAAATTGCATTATTGTAGGTGTTGCATTAGACAT